ATGTCCAATCTTTTTGCAATGATTGCACTGAGTTACTTTTGCTGGACATCCTGTGTAGCTTCCACGGTGTTGTGGGGATCCACAGAGAAAACATGCTTTTACTGTATTTTGAATTTGCTGATTCAGTGGTTTTTCATTAGTTTTCCTTTTGCAATTGTGAGTCTGCAGTGGTAGTGAACTTTTCTGCAAAGGAGTCACAGCCTGGTCTGTGCCTCCTGTATCCATGCTCATTATTTTGGCTTCAGCTCTAGCTGACTCAATCTGAGTAGCAATGGTTATTGCTTTTTTCTAGTGTAAGTTGTGGTTCTAGAAGTAAGCATTCTCTTACATGAAGCATGGTTGTTTTCTCAATGAACTGGTCTCTAATCATCTCATGTGCCATATTCCCAAAGTCACAAATTACAATCAGACTCCTCAGGGAAGCAATATACTGCATATAGTTTCCCCTGGTTTCTGCTCACGCTGGCGAAATCTGTAGCGATTTGCTACTACATTCACTTTTGGCACAAAAAAATTCTTTAATGCAGTGAGTGCAGTCTCATAAATATCATCTGCAAGGGGAAAAGTGTAAAATATATGCTGCTGTTCTGCTCCAAGGCAGTGGATTAGCAGAGCATGCTTTCTTACTTCAGAAATCTCTGTAGCACTGATTGCAGGCAGATAAGTCTCAAACATATAGATCCAGGTAGTAAAAGCAATTGGAGGCTCTGCTTTCCCTGGGCTTTGCAAAAAGGGTGCAGGTGGGTTCAGAGGCAGAAGATCCATCCTCATCGCCAAAATGTTGTATCAACCAGGCAAGGTACTAACAAGCTTCAACAGGACTCTATTTTCAAAGTGGAAACCTCTTTACCAAGCTGCTGCTGCACCCTCTGTAGCTTTCTCCCTGCCTCTCAACTCCTCCCCCCTACTTCCTGTTTCCTGTCCTTTCAGACTCCCAACAGCCAGTGCTCCCAATTCTAATAATTACAAGCAACATCTAAACACCACAAAACTGGATTCTCCAAAGACCAACAGACACAGAAAGGACTTTTGGATAAATAGCCAGAGTTTAAACTGACTCTGGGCCTTCATTCTGATCCAGCAAATGGAAAGGACTTTCTGTCCAAAGGGCAGGCGCCAATCCTTAAGGAAGGACTGACACCTACCAAAGCCCTTGTGGAGAGAGATGGTGGATGATCTCTGGTAAAATTAACATGCCTGTAGGTTCTTTTATTGTTTTAACATATTTTCTCTGTAAAGCTTGTCCCTTAAGAATAAATGTGCTTGCTTAGAAAAAGCTGAGTGGTAACCTTAAACCATGGGCAATGACACTACTTATAGCATCTGAGAAGAAAGGAAAGCAGGCCTACTTAGGCAGTCTGACTTGCTGGGGAATTCACAGCGTAGGCAGAGAATTGTGAAGCCTGGAAATACCCTGGTCAGGAGGGAGAGGCTCATTTCTCTGCCCAAGAGTGGGTGCCCTCGCTGGACCAGGGAGGGAGAAGGAAAGTGCAGTGGCCCTGAACTGTGACACCATGAACCCTCAAATTTCCCCAAAAATGTTCTTCCAGAACTTATTAATAGCTTTCATATTGTCACTGAGGTAATTATGTAGATGCTCAGACAAGTCAGAGAAAGCCATCACTGCTCTTGGACACAAATCTCTGATGCAGTCCAAATATGCTCTCAGACATAGTTTGACGTGTACACCAGGAATAAGTCCCAGATCATTTCTGCCCAAGTGAATCACACAATGTCCAGTAGATCACAACTTCCTATGGCACCACGTAAATGCTGCAGAGTGGGTAAAATATGATGCCATCGCAGGCAACCTCTCTCTTCCCAAATCAGCCTGCAGTTAGCAGTCCCCATGGAACGCTGTACCCATTGTTCTCCTGCAAACATTTGCAACCTCATGATCTGGGAATCACCCCGTATCCACATGTTGGAAATATGGCAGTGTCTTTGAAAACACCACATTAACCTACCCTGAGTTCAGCAAGTAGCCACTCCCTCCCTTCCCATCTCCTCAGGGGCTTACAATACAGATATTTCCTCTAACAACCAGTCCAAAGCTTGCCTACCACCTATCTTCATTGTCCAACCCCTCTGCAGCCACAACCTCGCTCCCTGTCCTTGTTCTGCCACCCTCCACCCCCACACACACACCAAGTGCTGTCTTTGGCTCCTCCCCACCTGATATAACAAAAATATTCTGCTGTGTTCACAGCAAACCTCCCCATAAAATGAAAACACATTATAACAGAGACAACTTTCGGCAAGCAATATGAATTATTAAATCTTTATTGCACAGTTGTACAGATTAGAAATGTCAATGGTGGGATGTTCACCAGAGGCAGTAGCGTTAGCACATTCCCTCAAAGTAACCAGGCAAGTATAAAGTGACTGCATAGAAATCCTCTCACGTTTTTTTTTTTCTTTATTGGTGCATGCACAATACAATCCTTCTGGACTACCCATCTATGCAAGCAAAGAAGCAAACATGTTCTTGCATACCATGCTCAGATTGGGGCCCCCAAAGCTTTAGTGGATGTCATACACTACCTTGGGTAAAACTTCAGAGACTGCGATGATTTTGACCTGCATCACATCAACAGTTTTATCTCTAGCTCTGCAAAAAAAATTTTTTTTTCAAAAACAACTCTTTTTTTCAGGGTTTATATCTCCGCAACCTCTACTTCAAATGATCCCAAATTTCAATCACTATCCCTATACCGCACCCTTCTTATGAGCACCAAATTTCAAAGGACTCTGACAATGGGACTTAGAAAGGTCTAGATTTAAATAAAAGTTGTTATGGAACCTTAACGATAGTGGCACTACTGCACCACTATAATACACGTTTATTTAAGGAATTAGATAGCTGAACTTGCATTTATTCAGATTCTTATTTTTTTACATTTTTTATTATGTTAGAAAATGGTGAATGTTGCATATCTTATGTACTAGATGATTATTTTTTACTTACAATTTGTGTCAAGCTCTCTTTAGACAGAAATTCACGTTCAATTAAAGATGCACAAAAATAGCATTTTAATTATTTTTTAAATTAAATAAAGTACCTTTAGTGTGCAGGATACATAAGAAAAAAAGGTTTATCAAAACATGATATGCATTTAAAACTAACGTAGTTATTAAACCGTTTATCTATCTATCTAAACCATTATTCTGTGCTTAGCAAATTGAATTGATTTTTTCTGGTCACCATATGCCTCAAGATTTTAGACTTAGTAGATCTCATCTTCTCACACCTACATTTTATCTGCAGATTGGAAGAAGAAAACCAAGCTTTCCTGCTTTTGTCCAAGTCCCTATTGGTTTCTTAACTTTGAATAAACTAATCACTGAACAAAATCAGTTGAATACACTGTAATGCACAAACTATTCTCTCTGTACCTGCAGAAGAGGTTACTGCTGTCAAAAGCTGGTTTAGCACTTCAGCAAACTCTGATTTCAAGTGACTTCCACCAGTTCAGTGGTGTTTCTTTAGAATTTGGCACCAAATATGTACTGCTTAATATTATTTTTGTGTTTAAATTAAATAATTTAAATAGATTATAGTAAGTTTAGGCCTTAACATAAATTGTAAATTTCCAATTTAATTGTAAATATTTTTATAAACAAACATATTTAATTTAAATAAAAAATCCAATTTAAATTAAAAAAATCTTCTTTTTAATTTAAAACATAATATTTTTTCTCCAGTAAATGGAGATAATGGTACTTCTCCAGCTTTTAAAAATACACTAAAATCTACAGATGAAACTATACATTTCATCAAACATTTTGGGATGGGCTTGGACTGCCGAATCCAATCACTGTACAGCACGCCCTGTCCATGTGCAACTTACTCTTTACCTCACCTTACATTCCAGGCTTATTTTACCCATTCTTATCTTGTCTGTTGTAAATCATTCCCTGGATGTTCCCCTTATTTTAGCTAGTACAGACATTCTGTTTTCAGCCTGCTAATCCATTTACCTCCCTAATCCTGCCCCCCAAGAAATAAGGACTCACCTATGTTCAATTACTCATGTGAAGACAGGCCTAATAAGGAATAACCAGGTTACTGCCAAATCCCATCTTTGCCTGGGGGACTACTACACCCTGGACCTGACCCTAGTTTTTATTTCATAGGAACAATTCATCCTTTCCCCCTCTAAATCTTTTAAGCTCCTCATACAGGATCAAATAAAGTTTGTTTGTCAAATCCGTATCTTTGAAAAACCCTGCTCCTCTTCAGATATAAAATAGAAAGATTATCTAGTTCTGTAAATCCTTTTGGATGAATAAACTGTTCTAAATCTTCTCATTTCACATTCTTCATCTCCAGGAGCACAACAACATTTTCAAGAGTCACAAGGTGTGACCCAACTTTTGAGACCTAATTGAGTAACTCCAAATCATCTAATAATTGCTTAGTTATATGAATGTACATATTTTTGAAACTGCCTGTGCAGTTCCCACAGGCATTCTGAGGGAAATCCTGGCCCCACTGAAATCAGTGGGAGATTTGTCATTAACTTCAGTCGGGCCACGATTTCACCATCTACAGCCCTGATTCAACAAACATTTACTCATATGTTTAATGTTTCTACCTTGAATAATTCCAGTTGGAATCAACGAGACTACTTACAGTAGCAAAGTTAAGTCAGTGTTTGGAGGATTGAGGCCCAAACGCAAGGCTGTATATTAACTCCACTGCCAAGATGCTCATATACACCCACAATTGTGCCCACTTTGAAATTAAACTATCTATTTAGTTCTATGCCGTTCTCTCTAAACAATCGTGTGCATCATGCATTTCTTTATTTTCCCATACAAAGACTACACACCTTACTGAAAATGTAGCATTCGAAGATCTACCACATTACTCCACTAATGACAACTGAGATTTTTCAGAGGATTTAAGAATTGCAATATTACAACTAACAGTCATAAAAACTTAGTTCAATAACCAAATAATGTAAGACCAACTCTGGAGTTATCCTATACAGTACCTGTTTGTAGTATATCTTCACCAGGTTTGTAGAAGCATGTATCCAAAGATTGCTTCACCTTCAGTGACCAAGATCTGCAAAGGAAAACCACAGACATTAAAAATATGTCACTGAAAGTAAATAGTTTGGGCATAAAAGCAGAGCAAAATCATTCCGCTAAACTTCCATTTGGAAATAAATTTAAAATATTATCCTTTACAGTATGTGTAGAGCAATGCATATTGTGTGAGAAAAGAATGATGACTAGTAGGATAATCTATTAAATATTACATTTAAGACATATACAGTATCATAAAGCTTTTAAGTAAGCTTGCTTATGGGAATTCAAAAATAGTACAGGATAGTTCCTGCAAACATCAAGTTTCAGAATAGTAATTTTACTACAACTATCAGTAATGATAGACTAAAACCAACACATTCAATATGTATAATGGCTAGTGGTATGGCAGAAAATAAAAAAATCTATTAAAAAAACTACAAACAGACATACATTTGAGCCACATTCTGCCTTTGATTTGCAGCAGAGCAACAGCATGAATTAGAGAACCATGCATCAATAAAGAAAGGTTAAAAATGACAATTCTACTACGGATTCCAAAATCTGGCTCTATATATTTCTGTCCCTAAAGCAGACACATGTTCAGGCACGTGCATGTGCATAGCACTTACCCACAATTAGTAGCTAGTCTCTATAAATGCTCCTGGTGATTCTGACACAGTGATACAGATATCAGCACTGTGCAGTGTATAATCCATTTGACAAAACAAATTAGTTTTACTATACAGTTACTAAAGAAAGAAGAAAAAGAAAAGACTGAGCAGTTAAAACTGTAAGATGTGGCAGAAGAGGGAAACAAACAAAAAAAGACTTAACTGACATGGAAAGGGATAGAAAAAGAAAGCAAGCAGAAAAGACAACAGTTCAAGTGCCAGACTGAGGTGGGAATGGTCCTTATTTAGTACCAACACTTATCTGGTGGCTCCATCAGTTTGTCTACCACACTATCTTGAGGATTTCTAAGGGTATGTCTACACTGCAGAGTGTATGTGTGTCCTGGCTGATACGTATATGCACATGTGCTTGCCAAGCCTCCGCCAAATGTCCACACTACAGAGCTGCACATGCCCCATACCAATCTAGTTGCATCAACATTGACACTGGAGTTACATATGTTTTGGGAGGGTAATCCAGTGTTTTTAGTGCCTTACTAAATTGAGCCACCCTAGGAATTGGTTGGTGTATTGTGGAAGAACTTGCCTATCCCTCCTGGGCCTTTGTGCAGATGTGTTCTTAGCTAGCCAGCACAATTAGCAAAATGCAGTGTAGCTGTAGCTGTCAATCCCAGGCTATTAGAAAGACAGGTGGGTGAGGTAATAACTTTTATTAAACCAACTTCTGTTGGTGAGAGAGAGAGAGAGAGAGAGAGAGAAGCTTTTGAGCTACACAGAGATCTTCCTCAGGTCTGGGGAAGGTAGTCCGAGTGTCACAGCTAAACATAAGTTCGAACAGATAGTTTATCATAAGTAAGGCTATGATTTAGTCATGGGTATTTTTAGTGAGTCATGGACAGGTCATGGGCAGTAAACAAAAATTCATAGCCCATGACCTGCCCATGACTTTTACTAAGAATACCGGTGACTAAAACTTGGGCGGGGGCCGTCGGTGCTCTGGGGGGGGCAGTCCAGCAGCGCCATGGGTGCTGAGGCCGGTGGCCTGGGACCCCACTGGTGCTGGGGGGGGGGGAGGGCTGGCAGGGGCTCCCTACCCAGGTCCACGTCCCTGCAGCTCCTCGGCAGTGGAGGGGCACAAGCCAATGGCAGCTGCGGGCACAGGTAGCACGTGGCGCAGAGCCTTTCGCCCCCCCCCCCAGCCCCTCCACTGCCTAGGACCTGCAGGGCCATGCCAGTGGGAGCCCCCCACCCTGAGGCAAGCACCCACCCGCAGCCCCCAACCCCCTGCCCCTAGCCCTGAGCCCGGGCAGCCCCTGAGTCAGAACCAGCCACTGCAAAAGTCACAGAGGTCATGGAAAGTCACGGAATCTGTGACTTCTGTGACCTCTGTAACAGACTCGCAGCCTTAAATCATCAGTAGTTAACACATATTCTAAGGCACTATTCAAGGTGAAGTGGCCCGTTAACAATCCTGTAGTCACAGGACCAAAAACAGGGGTTACTGGGCTACAGATTGTCGTAATAAGGCATAAATCCAGTGTCTTTTTGAAGATCATGCAAAACAACTTCAAAAACAGACTCCAATGAGAGACTGCTGAATTGGAATTAATTTGCAAACTGGACACCATTACATTAGGCTTGAGTAAAGACTGGGAGTGGATGTGTCATTACACAAAGTAAAACTATTTCCCCATGTTTATCCCCCCTCCCCCCCGCACTGTTCCTCACACGTTCTTGTCAACTGCTGGAAATGGCCCATCTTGATTATCACTACAAAAGGGTCTTTTTTCTCTTCTGCAGGTAATAGCTCATCTTACCTGATCACTCTTGTTACAGTGTGCATGGTAACACCCGTTGTTTCATGTTCTCTGTGTATATAAAATTGCCTTACTGTATTTTCCACTGCATGCATCCAATGTAGTGAGCTGTAGCTCACGAAAGCTTATTCTCAAATAAATTTGTTAGTCACTAAGGTGCCACAAGTACTCCTGTTCTTTTTGCGGATACAGACTAACATGGCTGCTACTCTGAAACCTATGATTTTTAGTGTCTAGCAAAGTTATGAATTTAAGCTCCTAGGCTCATCTTTTGAAAGTGTTGTGCAGTTTCCTTTGAGGATGAAGCCTGATAGGTCAGATACAGAGGGATCACTTTGTGAAAGGCAAAAATAATGAGGAGTCCTTGTGGCACCTTAGAGACTAACAAATTTATTTGGGCATAAACTCTGAAACCTTTGTGAAATCTGTTCACCCACAGGTAAAAGGGTGTTTTTGTCTTCTATCATTTTCCTGTGTGAGTTTGTTCAAGAGCGTAGTGATTGTCTGATTTCACCCCCATAGCTGTTATCGGGGCATTCTGTGCACTGGATGAGGTACAATACATGTTGTGATAGGCATGTGTAGGACCCCTGGATCTTGAAAGGCATGTGGTAGACGGTGTAACATTTAGCAGAGGCACTTCCAGCTCTGTCTGTTCCAGCTGGTGCCAGGCCATGGATCCAGAACTACTGGATGAGCTGTTTCTACTTGTGGCTGATCTGTTATTCCAACAGGATACAGACAGAGGATCTAGAAGATGGTGAGTGTCATTTCAGAAGCATTTCCTTCTGAATGGAAGGTGGTGACAAGACTCAGAGGAGAGCTCATTCACAGCAGACAGGAGATATCTGTTGCATGCTGCAACTGTGGTTTCCTATACAGACTAGTGCTTTTGACACAGGACAACTAGCACGGCGTAGTGGGATCACATTGTCAGGCAAACCTGGAATTACTAGCAGTAGCTACAGAATTTTCGCAAGATAAAGACCGCCTTCCTGGATCTGTACAAGGAGCTTGCCCCGAATGACCCTCCAGTGCCAGGACTGCAAATGAGGGAGGCCACACCAGTCCAGAAGCACGTTGTTATTGCCACCTTGAAGCTGGCTACCCCTAACTACTACAGGCGGGTGGATAATCAGTTTACTATTGGCAAGTCAACTGTCGATGATATGGTCGTGGTAGCTTGTGAAACCATTAATACTGTGGTTTTGCCACAAGTGGTAGACATTGCTACTATGCCTGAAATAATAACTGGCTTTCGGAGAATGGGGTCTTCAAACTGCGCTGGGGCCACTGACAACACTCAAGTGCCCATAATTTGCCAACCACAAGGACCACATGAATATGTCAACTGCAAAGAATACTACCCTATTGTTCTGCAGGCCTTGGTCAATCACAAAGGCAGGTTCATGAACACCAATGTGGGATGTACAGGAAACGTGCATGACACCAGGGTACTGAGGAGATTTGATGTTTACCTATTTGGACAAGCAGAGACCTTATTCCCTCCAAATAGCATTATCATCAATGGGGTATTTGTGCCCAATTATTTTAGGAGATCTCATTTACCCTCTACTACCATGGCTTATGAAACCATACCCTCACCACAGAGCACCTGGCAGAAGAAGGATTAATTACACACTTAGCAGTTGCAGATGGTGATGGAGCATGCTTTTGGCAGGCTGAAAGCAAGCTGGTGCTGCCTACAAATCTGTTTGGATACCAGTGCAGCCAGTTCCATCTGTGCTGTGGCCTGCACAACATCCATGAGGATGAGGGCTAGAATTTTCCCACGGAGTTAACTCAAGATGCTGCTGGTTTGCAGACTCTGTACAAACAATCAAAAGGTGTGCCTGCCATTACTGGGGCTGGGTCCAGAGAAGCAAGAGAAATAAGGGATGCCTTGTGCACCTACATCCCTCCATTGGTCTTAAAAAATACAAAAACAAAAAAATTAAACCTGCCATGCTTAGCAGCATGTTATGCAGTACTGAAGGCTCCCATGCTCAGGGTAGCAGTAAATATGTGGTTGAATACACTGTGGTAAGAGCACGCAGGCAGATTGTTGCCAGACTTGCCATCCTTAGCCTTGTGGTAGATAATCTTTAGGCTCCCCACATTGAACACAGCAGATATCTTCCAGTGCACAGGAGATGAGTGGGAAGTGAGTAGGTAGATGGGACATAACACACAGGCCCCAAGAGCTGTGGGATGGCACTGGAGCTCACGAGCTCAACAACATGTGCGTTAGCGGCATCTTTACTGCGAGATGGAAAGGTAGGAGAACACCTTACAGCAAAACTCACGCTTTAACCTATACTTCCAGCTGTGTGCATGAACATATGTTCAAAGGGCACAGAGGCTCATATCTGATGTTCTGTGGGGGAGGAGGAGACGGATGGGGATCGGGGGTTGGGCTAAAATGTGCATAAACACGCAGGCAAGAACAACAATAACAACCCCCCACTACTCTGCTCTATGTATTCAAGAAATCTTGATAAATATTACAATTTCCAGGATTATTCACTCTATATACTTGTTTGCCATTGTTACCGTTTATGTCAAATGCAGCCAAGACAGACTTG